TGCCAGGGCCGGGGTGGGGCGGAGCCTCAGCGGCGACGCAACCAATTGGCGGGAGTTTGTGTCCATTCTGACCAGGGAAAAGGGGGCGGGTACCCTGTCCAGCTGCCTATTGGCTACCATTGGCCATCATTTGGTGAAAAGAGGTGGCTTCGGCACGAAGGGGCTGGTTTAGTGGGCGGAATTTGAATATTAAGGATTAATGGGCCCTTGCGGATGCTGGGGCAATTGAGGGCCTAGGCTCCAGACTCCTGGTTGCGCGGCCCTCCCTGGCTATTGACATGCTGTCCACAAATGCACCAAGTACGCTGCAATAAGTGTTCCATTGCATCCACTTTTCCTAAATACCATTACCTTCAGTAGAAGCAGCAAAGTTGCCTGCCCTGGACCCTGATGTTGTTCCAGCCAAGGGATCTTGATTTAATAGGCACATTGCATTCTTTCATCTGAGCCTGCCATAAATCACATTCTCATTGAGGCAGGGAATAAGCTGACAACAAATCACAGCCTTGGCCTTGGTGAAACACTCTCATGGGGGAAGAGGGTACATGCCAAGCTGCATGACACTTGTCATTGTTGGATCAGATGGTTTGGTGGAGGTGTGAAGAAGGAACAGTGGGATCGCAGGAGAACAGACTAAGCTCTGCCTGGAGCAGAAAGGGAAGACTTCCTAGAAGAGGTGATTTGGGAGCTAAGATCCAGCAATTCTGTTTTGTAAAAATATTTAGGAGTGTGAGAAAAGTTTTAACCAATGGGGTGTTCGGGACAAGACTGCTTGTCAAAGCGACCTTACTCTGATTCCAGCCAACACCCAACTCATCCAGTGCTCCTTGTGCTAGTTCTATGATTAATGAGGAACCCTCTGATTCTGAGTTGGCTCCAACCCATTCATTTATTAAACAGCCAGGCACTGTTCCAGGCTCTGAATGCACAGTACTGAACAAGACAGGAAACTAACATTATATGGAAGATTCATACTAAACATACAAATAAGTGTATACTATAATGTCACATAGTGATAAGGGCTTTGAGATAGATAAAACAAGGGTGCAGGGGATGTTATTTAGATATCCAGCCATAGCTGGTTTGGCTCAGTGGATAGAGCGTTGGCCTGCGGACTAAAGGGTCCCAGGTTCTATTCCGGTCAAGGACTGCAGGCTCTATCCCCAGTAAGGGGTGTGCATGAGGCAGCTGATCAATGATTTTCTCTCATCATTAATGTTTCTATCTCTTGCTCCCTCTCCCTTCCTCTCTGAAATCAATAAAAATATATTTAAAAATATTATAGATATCCACAGACTTTTGCCCTCATTTTATTCTCCCATATGGATATCTGGGGAGACAACATTTCAGTCAAATTCAAATGTCCTGAGGAAAGATTATGTCTGGCATGTTGGGGGCTAACAGGAAGCTTATGTGGCTAGAGAGGGGTGGGGTGTGCAATTGGAGAGGAAGCTGGAACAACCATGGGAACTAGGAGCTTATTCTGAGATGAGAAACCCCTGGGGAATTTTGAACTTGGAGCTGACATTATCAGATCTATGTCATAAGTGCAGCATGGAGAACTACCTGTGCTAGGACAACAGTAGGAGCAAGAGCCCAGTCAGGGGTTCTGACAACAGACTAGGAAAGGTGATGGTGGCTTTAATTAGGGTGGTAGCAGTGGAGGTTCTGAGAAGCTGTGAGATTCAAGGTATATTTTTAAAATCAAGCAGAAAAGATTGGCTGTTGGGTATAAAGAAAAAGAAGAAACAAGGATGATTCCTGAGTTTTTGGCCTGAGCAATTGAGTAAAGGTATGCCTTTCACCACGATGTGCAAGTGGAGATGTTGAGTAAGTGGTTGGGTCAACAAGCAGTCAACAAGTCAACAAACTGAACACCCAACTCGAGAAGCTATAAAAGGAAAAGCATAGTAAACCTAGAAAAAGTAGGAGAAAAATAGGATGAACAGAAATTGATGAAGCAGAAACAAGTGATAGAATTGAGAACATCAAAAGTTGATTCTTTGAAAAGCTGAAAACAAAAGCCAACCATTTAAAAAGCTAGATATAAGGAGAGAAGAGAGAAGTCAATTATGTATACTAGAAATGAAAAGGAGACATAGCCTACAGATACAATAGATTATACAATAGATGATTGATAACACAGATATGTTTTTTTGGGGGGGGTACCAAATTACTAGTATTTGTAGGAATGGTACAAATGAAAGACGTGAATGGATGATTTGGTACAAGTTATAGAAAAGATGAAGGTAACTATGACACGCATGTACTACTTTGGTGACCAGGGAAGTCACCCCCGTGGCTATTATCACTCTCTCTCCCAGGGTGTGCTTGTCAAAGAGAAACTCTGCCATGCCAGTTTCAGGGGCCCTTGACCTGCTCAAGTTGGTTATGTGGTCACCAAATTCTTTGATGGATTTCACCTGTTCATTCAGGTAGTGAGTCTTAATGAAGTCACACAAATGAGGGTCATTTTTTAAAATTTCTTTATTGATTAAGGTATTACATAGGTGTCCTTATCTCCCCATTCCCCCCCACACACACTCATGCCAAATGAGGGTCATTTTTGTCAGTGGCCAGTTTGTACAAGTCCAGTAGTGACTGACTCATGCTTTTTTCCAAGTGCAATGCACACTCCATTGCATTCAGCCCATTCTCCCAGTCATCACGGTCTGGTTTTTTGACATCCCGAAGGAAGATTCGGCCACCTCGTTGGTTCTGCAGCTTCATCAATTTCTCAGCACGTTCCCTCTCCTCATGAGATGGTGAAGAAAATATTTGGCAAAAGTTCTTCAAAGCCACATCATCACAGTCACAGTAGTAAGACATGGACAGGTAGACATAGGAAGCACAGAGCTCCAGGTGGATCTGGCAGTTGATGGTGGCCTCCCAGTTCTGGTGGTAGTTCTGGCGCACCTGTGAGGTGGACCCAGTCTTCGTGGAGACTCTGCTGCACCGCGCTAGAGCGGTGGCAGAGGGCGGGCACTCTGAGGAGGTGGTGGAAGGCTGGATTTGGGCAGCTGGCTGGGATGGATCAAGCTCTGGGTGCTCTGGGTTCCGCCCAAGGAATGATTGTCCAGATACGTTTTTAAAGGCTATTATGCACAACTGTATGTCAGTAAATTGGAAAACATAAGCACAAGGTATAGATTTCTAGAAAAGGCACAGCTTACCAAAACTGATTCTAGAAACAGAAAACCTGGATAGACCCTCTATAACCACAAAAAAATGACTATATATTTTTAAAATCCACTTCCCAAAAAGAACAAGCTCAGAGAGCTTTATAGATGAGTTCTACAAATCTTTAATGAGTGGGCAATTCCAATCATAGGAAAGAAAGAAGTCTCTTGAAACTTTTATGAGACCAATATAACTATTATAATGAGCCAATGAAAGTATGACACAGGATGTGGAAATAGGGGTAAAAATCCTACAAAATTAAATCCAGCAATATATAATGATATGTCATAACCAAGTTGAGTTTTACCCTAAGAATGCAAGGATGGTTTAAAATTAGAAAATCAAAGTTAAGAGATTTAAGGAGAGCAAATTATGTGATTATTCCAATCAATGCAGAAAATGGACCTGGTAAAATTCAACACCTACTTATGATTAAAAAAAACCAACAAGTGCTAGCCAGCGTGGCTCAGTGGATAGAGCATGAACCTGGGAACTGAAAGGTCCCAGGTTCGATTCCAGTCAAGGGCATGTACCTCGGTTGCAGGCTCCTCCCCAGCCCGGGGGGGCCCTGGTTGGGGAGCGTGCAGGAGGCAACCAATCAATGTATTTCTCTCACATCGATATTTCTCTCTCTTTCCCTCTTTCTTCCACTCTCTCTAAAAATCAATGGAAAAATATTCTTGGGCGAGGTTTAAAAAAACACACACACACAAAGAACCAACAACAACAACTTAGAGAACTATGAATAGAGTGGAACTTCCCTAATCTAATCAAAGGTATCTATAAAAAGACTTAGAGCAAACATAATATTTAATGGTATCAAGTGGAAAGAAAGCAAGAAACAGAACAAGATCTACAGTACAACATCATTCATGTAAAATAAAACACATATGTGCTTTTCCTCCCACTCTCTTTTAACTTTCATCCTTGGAGTTTCACCTTGAGGAGAAAGACCCATTAACCCCAAGTTGATTTTCTGGTTTTTAGAATGCAGAGATGGAAATCCAGCTAGTAATTAAAAGCTGGAAAAAGAAATGGGGGAGGAAAGATTCAACTCACTCTAATTACAAAAATTATAAAACGGTTGGGAATAAACTTAATAAGAAAAGCTAAAATGTCTATTAAAAAACTCTAAAACTTTACTGAAAACACAAAAGAAGACCTAAAAAAAGAAAAGAAACTACTAAAGAAAGAGTCTACAATAATAAAGATGTCAATTCTTCATAAATTAATCTGAAAATTCTTTGCCTGAGTAAAAATCCAGGAGTTTTTATAGACTGTAACAAGTTAATGCTAGACCCAGAAGAGTATGTATACAAGACTAGAAGTCAAGACATTTTTGAAAGAGAAAACCAATGAAGAGGGTCTTGCTAAAAAAATCTTTAGTTTGAATAAATGAATTAAATGATACAATTTCACCCTTTCCATCAGTAGGAAAATAGAGTTTAAAGCATTTGCTAGTAGAATAAAAAATGGGTTATTTAAAAAATGGGACTATAACATTTTAAAAATGGCTCTCCTTAAAAATGGGACTATAGAAGATAAAATCCAGGAAAATGTCATAGAGATAGCAATTGTCAGAAAACCAACAACCACAAGGGTTTTATGGCTATGGCAGATAGAGTGCAAATTTCTACTCCATCTGTCTAAAAATTCCTTGAACTGATAGAAAATATACATTTTTTTGCCCAGTTGGTGTGGTCAGTGGTTGAGCATTGACCTATGAACCAGGTCAGGGTTCGATTTCTGATCAGGGCATTTGCCTGGGTTGTGGACTCAGTCCCAGTGTGGGGCATGCAGGAAGCAGCCGATCAATGATTCTCTCTCAACATTGATGTTTCTATCTCTCTCTCCCTATCGTTTCCTCTCTCTAAAATCAATAAACATATATATATATTTTTTTTAAAAATCTCAGGTCCTACCTGAAGCCTAGCCTTGAGACGTGCCCTGGGACTGAACCCTTGGTTTCACCAGCTTCAAACCCTTACCAGCCACACTTGAGATGGTTTTGGTGTTTAATGCTGGCCAAGGCCATAGGACTATCAACAGAGATCCACTGAAATCCATCCTGTCAGGAAGTGACCAGCAAACACTGATGTTACATCTGTCTCAATATGGCATTATCAAGTGCACGATCTGATTTTCTGGCGAGATGTGAAGGTTTGCCTTTGGCACCACGCTGGTCATGCTGCCTTCCCTGGCAGCTTTCAGTGTCATCAGTGTGATTTCTTACCGCATCCTGGCTCTTCTCTCTGTCACCATCAGCTTCAGGGTCTACAAGTTTGCCATCCAAGCCGTACAGAATTCAGAAGAAGGCCATCCATTCAAAGCTTTCCGTAATTACATGGATGCTGCTGGGGTGCACATCAACAGGGCCCTGAAACTCATTCTTTTTTCTTTCTGGTAGAAGATCTGGTTGACTCTTTAAAGCTGGCTGTCTTAATGTGACTGATAACCTTTGTTGGTGCCATTTTCAATGAAATCACCCTTCTGATTCTTGCTGAACTGCTCATTTTCATGCTTTGATTGTCTGTGAGAAGTACAAGACCCAGATTGATCACTATGTTGGCATCGCTCATGGTGAGACCAAGTCGACTATTGAAAACATCCAAGCAAAACTACCTGGAATTGTTAGTTTTGCAGAATAAGTTACACGGAAACCAGAAATGCCACAGTTACTAAAACGTCATTTAATAGTCATAATGTTACCTGTACTCTGAAGGAATGTGCTCAATGTCAGCTTGAGCCTGCATTCCAAATTTGTTTGTTTGTTTAATTTGGTGTTTTCCCCTCCTTTTTCTTTACCTGCAGTATGAAGCACAACTACTAAAACACACACACACACACACACACACACACACACACACACTCACACACACACACACACACACACACACACACACACACACACACACCCCTCATATCTTAGAACCCAAAAGAATAAAGACAGAATCAGTTTAATAGGATAAATCAATACCTTAATAGTCGTGGAGCTTATATGTGTATTGTGAAAAGGGAAAGATTGAAGTAAAGGAGAAAATGAAAAATAAAACACACCTCTTGGGTTCTTCTATTTAATTTTCCAGGACTAGCCTGGCTGGCGTGGCTCAGTGGTTGAACGTTGACATATGAACCAGGAGATCATGGTTCTATTCCCAGTCAAGGCACGTGCCTGGGTTGCAGGCACAATCCCCAGTGTGGGGTGTGCAGGAGGCAGCCGATCAATGATTCTCTCATTATTGATGTTTCTATTTCTCTCTCCCTCACCCTTCCTCTGTGGACCAGTTGCTATGATGCTCACTGACCACCAGGGGGCAGCCACTCAATGAAGGAGCTTCCGTGAGTGTACTAGCCATTTACAAAGAAACGGCACTGCGGACCTGGCACTAACAAAGCAACACTTGGCTTCCCCCAAGTGGGACACAGGCCTCGCCACCACCCTGGAGTGATACCCCAAATTGCATCCAAGACCCCATGGCGCAAAATGCAGCCCACAGCCCACAGCCCAGTCCAGCCAGAAAGGGGTCGCTGTGGGTGCCAGGTAATGATGTCACATAGCAACACCAGGCTTCTTCTCCCTAGCGACTAGGCTCCTTGGAGTTTCTTCAGCCCAGGAGCACGACTTGCTTTATAGCCAGGTGCAAACATTCTACACTTTAACCAAATGTCTGTGAAGCATTTTCTGTGTATCATCTCATTTGATCCTCACAGAAGCCCTGGAATAGGTAGATAGGAGACTTGGTAGAATCCTATTTTCTTTTCATTAGCCAGAAAATGGAGATTTAGAAAGTTTAGAAACTTGACCTGACTTAAAAGAAGTAAGAAATGGTGGACCTTGAAAATGACTTCAGGTTTTCTCACTGTGCAGAATAGGTGTCCACTTCAGGTTTTCTCACTGCACAGAATATAGTCAAACACTGCTGCAGTTAAATATTTTACCCTTTGTTCTCCCTGCGTGATCTACAATAATAATCTGCTTCGTGTTGATATTTACTGCTGTGTTGCTGACAATTACCTGAAAGAGAAGTTGGGTGTTTCACTGAGATGGAAAAAGTTTTGCTAAATCAGAAAGCAGGTCTAATAAAGTAAGTCTATTCTATATATATAAAAGGCTAAGTTGACTTGCGCATGTGCGATACATATAAAGCTCTCACTGGCACCAATCACATGTGTGTGTTTCGATCTGTCAACTGTCGATCATAATTTGGTTGTTTTTGTTGACATTCTGAAGCCAAAAGAAAGCGGCATCATTGACAGAATATATCTGAAGACCAGCTGCTATTGGTACAACGTACCTCTGAAGCTGAAAGAAAGCGACATCATCGTTGACAGCGTATGTCTGAAGAACAATCATTGACAAGTACTACCAATACTGGTAGGAACTGCCTTCATAGCAAAAATGAAGTAAATGAGGATGCAATTACCGAACACAGTTGTGGTAGAATGACTGTTAGATGTCAATTTTGCCTATCCCTAAATTTCTCCAATGAAAAACCATCTGATGGAAAATTTACTCAATGTTGTAGCAAAGGCAAAGTTTGTCCAAATGATATAAATTTTCCAGAATACCCAGCATATTTTAAATTAATGACCAGAATACCCAGCATATTTTTAAAAATTAATGATAAACAAAGATTCTGACAGTAAAAATTTCATGGAAAATATTTGTGGTTATATCATGTTATTGTTTATTTATTAATCAATTTATATATTATTTTCATGTACATTTTACTAGTTTTCTTTCATCTCTGACAGTTCTATTACAAAGGGCAAATAGCGATATTAAAATATTTCTTCTAATTAATTTCCTTTCAATGTGCACGAATCCGTGCATTGGGCCACTAGTAAAAATAAATTTTAAATTTTTTTCAAGGACGAGTCTTACATACCTTCCCATCATAACTTTGTCCTCATTTAAAATTTTTTAAAAATTTATTTTAGAGAGGAAGGGAGAGGGAGAAAGAGAGAAATATCAACCTATTGTCTCCCATACACACCCAGAGTGGGAACTGACTGAAAGCTGAGTGTGTGCCCTGACCGGGAATCAAACCTGTGACCCTTTGGTGCACAGGATGATGCTCTAACCAACTGAGCCACACTGGCCACGCTGCTCTTATTTTTAAGTTAAGAAATAATGGTTAACTTATGAAGAAATTATCTCAGTGGGATTCCTTCCCATGGTTTGTGTTGTTTAGCAGTCCTTGATCCCATCTTTCTGCCCCACAATGTGAGCAGCTACTACTCATATTCCTCTTTTTTGCTTATTGATGTAACTCTCAATTCTCTGAATAACTTATAGGTGATAGTAATAATTTCTGGTTCCCAGAATGCCATCTGATAGCCAAGAATGGAAACAGAAAGTGGGACTAGATAGGGAGTCATCAGGAGCATTGCTGTGACCATTGCTCCCTCTCCCACTCATCCTCAGGAAAGGAAAGGCTCTGCCATTGGGGAAGGTGGTGCCTGTGTCATTTTGGAGACCAGTTCCCGGCTTTAGTTTGAAAACTCATTCTTGAATGTTCTTTCCTCCCTCTTTCCTATCCACCTCACCTCAAGTATGGTTGTTTCTTATTATGAAATAAGTGTCTGTAACTGCTATACACTGATGTAAACTTGTTAGAGGAAAAAAATCTGCGTGTGGGCACAAACAAACAAACATGAAAACAATCTCGGTACCCTCCAAAATGTAGAAATCCTGCAGTTCAATCTCTGGCAACAATACAATAAAATTAAAACTTAGGAACAAAAGAATGGGCAAAAGTAAAACAAAACAAACAAAAAACCCATTCTCTATTTGGAAGTTTTAAAACAGGCTTCAAGCCTGGCCTGTGTGGCTTAGTGGTTGAGCATCTACCTATGAACCAGGAGGTCAAGGTTCGATTCCTGGTCAGGGCACATGCCCAGGTTGTGGGCTCGATCCCCAGTGTGGGGCGTGCAAGAGGCAGTCGATCAATGATTCTCTCTCATTATTGATGTTTCTCTCTCTCTCTCTCTCTCTCTCTCTCTCTCCCTCCCTTCCTCTCTGAAATCAATAAAAATATATTTGAAAAATAAAACAAGCTTCAAAATAACCCTTTGGTTAAAGAGGAAACAAAAACTTAAATTATAAACTCTTCAGAAATGACTGACAATGAGAGCCCTACATATTCAAATCTATGCTATGTGGCCAAAGAGGTAATCTAGGAAAAGTAATAGCCTTAAATACATTTATTAGAAATAAAAAGATAGATGAGAAATGAATTGATTCTGGTATATCATGCTTGCACACAGACATACACAAAGGGTTTTCCTTCTTTACCCTTAGAAGCTCACTACAAGAAAAGTATTGAGGAATAGAAAGAAATAAACCCAACAAAGTGAAGAGAACATGATGATGATGATGAGAGGTTATCCTTAATGGATACATTTCAACAATGTTTTTGGAAAACAGATGGGAATTAGTTGATGAATAAAATAGGCAGGAAAAATCCAGCCTAGAATATTTGACAAGGGAACTAGAGAAGGTGGGAGCCAATTTGCCAGATATAAACCAGAGAGTAGGCTCAGAATCAGCATGCATATGGTGGAAGGAAATAGAATTAAGTGGGACTGAACATTTGGGGATTGATTGAAGACCCCAATACAGAATGACTGTACTAGTTGGAACCTCCTCTCCTCCAACAGACAGCTGAGCTTGCAGCTGGTGCAGGCCTGCAGTGAAAATACCTGACAATTCTCTAAAGAAATTGAATGACATGTCTGTAGAGAGCTAGGGCTTCCAGCATGGATGTTGGCAACCCCTGGACAATTTTCTCCTTATTGTAGTATCTGTGGGATGTGCACTCTGTTCCTCAGCTCCCTACCCTACAAAGAAGAGTCAAAGCAGGAAAACGGGTGTATTTGTCCTAAAGCAGATTAAATTCACAATAGTTACCCAGTCCATCTTTATTAAATACTAGAGGCCCAGTGCACGAATTTGTGCACAGGTGGGGTCCAGCCGGCCCGCCCCGATCGGGGCCCACTGGGCAGGCTGGTCATGGGGAGGGGCCTTGGGTGGTTGGCCGGTCGCCCCCACCCCTGGTCGAACT